AGTCGTGTTGGAACTTCTCTTCGTAACATATCTGACACACTTTCTTTAACTCCTCATTCTCAAACTTGATCCCACTGTTTTCTGTGACATTCACTATGAGTCCTAACATCTGTATAAACTCATACAAAGTCTCTACATTCTCTTTTGAACTCCCTTTTAAAAACAATTTGTTGTCCACTTCATTAATTGAATCAAAAATCAAACCATTGTCAACAAGAATCTCTGCTAACTCCTCTTTCTTCATTACTTTGCCTTCATTGGAAATTATCAAGTCACATTTTGTTACTAAATTTTCATTGTTTTCAACTTCATTTGCAAAATCGGATAACATAAAAGTGTCTCCAAAGGTGTGTGGATCGAAAATAATTTGCCCGTCTATCTCTGAAAGGAACCACATCTGCAAATCACACATTTTTTGCAACTCTAAGAAATTGAAACTGCAATTTGAACTGATGATGTACACGTCTACATTGCCAGTAGACTCTACAGACCACGAACTGCAGGTCACTTCAACTAAATAATTTCGGATTTTTTAAATCTTGACCTCTATCTGCATGTGCATATAACATTAAGATGTTTTTGTACTTTGGAATTTCTTTGGTATTTATCTCTTCATAAGTAGGTTTTCTATCTTTTATTTCTCTTTGTTTTGGTCTGTGTGTGGAGTTTGCAAATGGGGAATATACAACTTTAACTTCGGGTTGTTGTGTTTTTATTTTGGAGAATCTGATCAAAGAAAATTCACCAAGTGCTTTGGTTATGGTCAAGTCTTCTTTGGCTTTTTTGGCAGTATTTGGAGTGGAATATGCAACTAAAACACAATAAAATTTACCCATTTTCTTTATTGTGAATTTCTTAAGGGAACCATATTTTGATAAAATTCGTTGTGTATTAGCAGGAGTTGTTGTTACACATGTACAATATAATATAGTGTTTGATGTTTGTTGTGAACTATTTTCTGTCAATTCATTCACTTCCCCTTTTCTTAAAGTTGCAGTAAATAATGAATAATATTTCTTGTTTAAAGTTGGCAAGTTTTTAATAAACAAATCGGCCTTTTCAATTGAAATGAAATCGACACACATTTCATAAGTAGTTTTTACTTGTGAATAAATCAAATTATAAGGCATTGGAATTACACCATCAACTTCACTCAACATTTTCTTCATAAAGACTTTGGTGTCTTCATTGTTGTTAGGAATGCCACTAATGATCACTGTAATGAAATGAAATTTATTTTTGGTATTTTCCTATTAAAATAACAAAAAATGGTGGAACTAATATTTATATGGCAAATACTTTTTTGGATTGCACTTTTTACATTGAAAACTGATTAAAAACATTTTGAAGTTGTCAGATAAATAAACAATCAGGCAAATTAGAAAAGGTGTATTTCTATAATAATAAGAATAATCACCAACTTTTTTAAATTGATCGATAATAACTTAAAACATTTAACCCTTATAGAACACTCGAATTTTTGGTAATAACGCAATATAAATAATTAACATTAAGAATTGTATTTTTATTATAATTATTGAATCATTAAAAATGTTATAAAAATGTATTATAATTTTGACATGCTAAACTATATATTTATTGATAATAATAAAGTCAATTTTACTGTACTTTTAAAAACAAATGTAATAGTTTTATTCATTAACAATAAAAAATAAAAATGCACAAGGTGGGGTTCGAACCCACGACTTTTTCAAGATTGGTGCCTAAAACCAACGCCTTAGACCACTCGGCCACTTGTGCTTATATTTTACTTTATTATTACTTCCAAACTTCATATTGTGTCACTTCTTGTATAATTTTTTTTAAATAAGAAATCATTATTCTACTCTTTAAAAAGTACTATATATATTAACTTTTTTTTATATACAAACACTTTTTTTTTATAATTAATTTTATAATAAAATAATTTATAATTAAATTCAAAATTTTAAAATATTATTGAAATTAATAATACAATTTCATTTAATTGTATTATAAATAGAACAATTTTTAAACTATTAGATATAATACAATTGTATAACAAAAAAATTTAAAACCCATTTTATTTATATAGTATTTTATAATATTATAAATTGAATTATAACCAATCAAATAATATAAACTATACTTTATTGCTAATTATATGATATACAATTAACCAAATAATTGTCAGAAGGATGTATTTCCCATTAATTACCTTGGAAATAACTAACTAAAAAGGTGAAAAAAAGGTACACCAAATAATGCTAAAAAACTTATTCTATTTATATAATAGTTCTTGATTAAAGTTTTAAAACTATTTATTTTACTTCTTACAATTATTCGGTCTCTGACCGTTTTTTTGTCAACTGTATATTAGTTTATAACATTGAACAAAACCATTACAACCAAACATTAATGGAACAATAGATAAAAATGAGTTAAATGGTCGAACCTTTAATCTATTATTTATTCTTTATTAATCACCAGAAATTATTTAGTCAACAGAACAATGATATTGGTTTGCTCAGTCCGTTTTATTTGACTTGGTTTGAATCAAGTATAACAAGTGTTTAAATGTAAAAACTGTTTTTGAGGGTTTACAGTTTATACAAAACAAAAATTAAATTGGTAATTCTTCTTCGATAATTAAAAACTTTTTTCTTTGCATCGGTGCTTTAATATACATTATTGACTCTTTATCAAAATATCTAATTTGTATTATAATATAAAAAACAATTTGAAATAAATCACTTTATTTTATTAAACAAATATTATAAATTTAGTTTAGTTATAAATAAGTATTTTGTAATTAAAAAATGGTTTTTAAAAAAGAAAAAAATGTATTTTTTTGATTATAATTATTAAACTATAAATTTTATTATTTCAAATAAACTGTTTTTTTTCTCTTTTTAGCAAATATCTATTAAAAAAAACAAAATCACCTAATTGATATTTTGTTTGATTGTTTTTTACTATTTATATTTAAAATATTTACTACTAATTCATAATTAAACAAAAAAACAATTTTTTTCCCGTATATTTCCATAAAAAGCGTTAGTTTTATAATGATATTAACAACTTAAAAAAGTAAAATTGATTACTATTTTTACATAAGTTTATAATTACCAATAATATAATTTTTATTACATAAGTTAATATTTATATTTTAAAAAATCAATGAATAATATAGTAAATTTACAATAAAATACATGTTTATATACTTATTTAATTAATTTATTTTTTAACCAGACAAAATTGCATTATTTGTCATATTGTAATGGTAAAAACACTGTAGAAACAGTTAGTTTTTTTATTGCTATAAAATGGGATTTACTCGAAAGAAAAATCACCAAAAAATTACCAAAATGTTGGAGCTAATTGTTTTCCAAAATCTTAAATATAACAGAAATTCGACTTTTTCTTCGGCAAAACAATCGAATAGTGACCACAATGAGGAAAAGCCATAAATACATTGAGTTTTCAAAAACCATTTAATTTATTTTGTAAAAAGTAGTCTTATTTTGCTACTAATAATAATACTACAATACAATAATACAATAGCAATACTCAAAATCACTGACCAACTTCGAAAAATTGAAAGAAGTTTTTATAATAAAAGAAATAATCAGTTAAATTAAAAAAACTAAAAGAATTGATATGCTATTAAAGGGTAGATATCTTGGAAAGATAATAATAACAGAGTTATATGTTGTATATTCTTTTTGTAACATTTGCAGTGGGCATTCGGTGGTGTTCAAGAAAATCCGAAGTCTACTGCGTTCAAGACGATATGACGTGTAATATCAATGACAACGAAATTATTACTCAAACGACTGGCGAATTAGTCTTTAATTACAAGACTGTCACAAACGTTCAATGTGCATTGACCAATGTGGTCACTTTTAAAAAAATTGGAATAAAGAATACAATCTATTTGAGTGATAAACAGGACACTTTTTATAAAAACGAGACACTCAAACGAACAGCCACAACAACCCAGTCATGTAGTAATAATAATTTACAAATTAATTGTTTAAAATGTGTGGACGGAACAACATCATGTGGGATGTGTATGCCAAATTATTGTTTATATAAAAGTAATGATGTCATATCTTGTGTATCTTGTAGTGGTACTCGTATTTGTAACGATGGGCAATACATCACAACGACTTCTGAAGTTTCTTGCCAAACACCAACTTGTACTACTTGTGTAAGTAGTCAATGTTCACAATGTGAAGATGGGTTTTATAACTACCAAAATTCGGTGAATTGCGGTTTGAGTTGTTATTTGTGTGATTCGACTTGTGTTGGTGGATGTAACAGCTCAACTGGTGTTTGCGTTGGGTGCAATACGGGTTACGTAAGACAACCAAGTGGGCCGGGGTGTATTCAGTGTAGCAAATTTGCTGCCAATTGCGAATATTGTTCGTATGATTTTACTCCACAATGTATATTATGTTCACGAGGATTCTACCCAACTACAAGTGGCACATGCGACTCTTGTGCAAACATCCATTGTATAACCGAATTTTGTTCTCAAGCCATAAAGCACTGCACTCAATGTATTAATGGGTACTACCCTAACAGTGAAGGTGAATGTAATAAATGTGACACGCTACCAAATTGTTCCGAATGTGACCAAACAAAAGCTGAATGCACAAAATGTAAGAGTGGATTTGGATTCTTTAATGGGAGTTGTGTTCAATGTAATTTAAACAAGGGCGCTATATTTGTAAATGAAACTTCCGAATGTAAAATGTGTTACTCGTCCTTTGATAACTGCAAATTATGTCAAAAACCATACACGAATGTGGAGTGTGTAGAGTGCTATCCTCCGTATTTTTGGGATTCGATTGGTAAGACTTGTAAGTTATGTATTGATGGGAATTACTATGATAAAACTACTAAAAACTGTGTATCAAATAACAACATTTGTACAATACAAAATAAAGAAGACGAATGTCTGACATGTAACAATAACTATTTTCTAAGAAACGGGAGTTGCATTCCTTTTGATAACTGTGAAGGCGATAACATACAAACAAGTAGTTCATGTGAATGTCAAGATACACTTGCGATCAACTCCAATTGTTATGTTTCTTCTAATGAGTCAATTTGTAAGTACGTCTTATTAAATGGATATGAAGACTTAAAGATGTGTCTTTCTTGTGATGACAATTTTACATTGATACAAAACAAAGTCTGTGGCAAATCTTATTATAAGTATAATTATATTAGAAATAATGCGAATTATACATGTGAAAAAGGGATGTATCTTTCAAATGACAATAGATGTATGAACTGTGTTGATTCAAGTGTCTGCATTTTATTTAATAATAAACTTAAAATTCTTGAGTGTTCAAAGGACTTGGTACGTTCAAGTGATTCACAACAAGCTGAGAGTTGTAAATCAGATGAAAAATGTACTACTTATGGTATCAATGAATGTCTTAATTGTTCTTCTAAAACCACTGACATAGTCAAAGGCATATGTGTCACAAATCCAACAGCCAATTGTATCATTTCACTGAATTCTAAATGTATTTTGTGTGACAAAGAGACACTTCTTTCAGACGGAAATTGTATTTCCAAACTCAATTTTAATTGTTTACGAAATGTAATAGGTAAGTGCATTCAATGTATTGATAATTACTACAGAAGTACTATAAGTGATATATATTGTGAAAATACGTCTAAAATACCCAATTGCATCTATCAAATAATTTATTCCAACAACACAATGATATGTAAAGAGTGTTCACAAAATTATATGGTTTCTGATTCTAAATGTGTTCTAATGACTTCGACCAAATTAATTCAATCATCTTTTAAATATTCTGACTTGATTAAATGCAAGAAAATGAGTACCAAAGGGTGTTTAGAGTGTGAAGAGACGTATTATTTGACTTTACAGAATACATGTGAGAAGTGCGATTCTTCATGTGTGAATTGTTCCAATGATACTATGTGTATTTCATGTCCCTCTGGATATTATTTGACGAGTGAACATACATGTAAAGAAGTTGGTTCATTACATAAGACGTGTGATATGTTAATGCCAGATGCCATTGGCTGTGCGATCTGTAAAGTTGGGTATTACTACGTTTCAAAAGACTGTAGACAATGTGAAACATCATGCTACTCCTGTTTAGACAACAAACAGTGCGTTTCCTGTGCAGACAATTACTTTAGAATAGCAAACGAAACAAAGTTGTGTCTTCCATTCGACGATTTGACTCAATTTTGTCTTAAAAAGACCAAAAGTGGGTGCGCCAGTTGTCAAACAGGGTACTTCCTCTCAAACGGTCGATGTTCCAAGTGTTTAGAGAACTGTACTAAATGCACGTCAATGACTTATTGTTCCGAGTGCTCCGACAATTATGTGAATATTGACTATTCATGTCACGACTATTCTACAATTCAATTTTGCACGGCCGCGAAGAACGATCGATGTACTAAATGTGAAGGGTGGCATGCACCTGATGACAGTGGGAAGTTCTGTAAGACTGCCCTCCGCTATGATATTATATTTGGGACGATCGTTGGATTTATAGTATTTATAGTTCTCTTAATAGTACTTATAATAGTTATCATTTATCGAATTAAGTTACACAAGACGGAGGAGAAGAAGATGCGGAATGTCTGTGTCTTTGAGATGAAGCGTTCGAACGTCTCTCTACGCAAGCTAGGAGACTTCCTGTTGAGTAATAAACGCGAAATAACATTTGAAGGACTTAATGAAGATAGTTTGATAGAAGTGAATGAAGAGACGCGGGAGTTAATATGTGTTGGGAATAACACCAAACACAATATAAAAGTCCAATTTAGTGTTGTGGACAATTGCGACCAATTTTCGATACGAACGGAGCCGAGCCTAATCACTCTTAAAAAGGGAATAGCGTGTGAATTTGAGATCTTTATTAAGCCAATTTGCACGTGTGTTATCCACGAGAATATATTGGCCATTGCACTCGACTTAAAAACAGGAGAACAGATCAGTGAGAAGATCATAGTGAAAGCTAAGACTCGAATGTCGACGCGACTGGACTACACTGAATTGAAAGACACAAAGAAAATAGGAGAAGGGACGTTTGGGATTGTTTACTTTGGGGAGTTCCGAGGGGACAAAGTTGCTATTAAAAAGATCAAACAAACTTCTGATGATGAAGTGAGTAAAAAAGAATTTGAAGATGAAGTTTCTATGTTGGACAAATTTAGAAGTGATTATATCGTCCACTTCTATGGCGCGGTATTTGTACCAAACAAAGTGTGTTTGGTCACCGAATTTGCTCAATTTGGAAGCCTACAAGATTTGATTAAGACGAGAAATGGAAATGATTTTAGAACGATTTTACGACTGAAGTACATGTTAGATGTTTCGAAGGGAATTATGTATTTACACGAGAACGGGATACTACACAGAGACATTAAACCAGACAACGCTTTAATATTCTCATTGGACACTATAGAGAAATTCAATGCTAAATTGACTGATTTCGGAAGTGCAAGAAATTTGAATCAAATGATGACGAACATGACGTTCACTAAAGGTATTGGGACTCCAAAATATATGGCACCGGAGGTGTTAAATAAACAACACTATAAGAAGGCTGCCGATGTATTCTCTTTTGCTGTGACGATGTACGAATGCTTCGCATGGGAAAATGCATACCCAAATGACCTCTTCAAATTTGCGTGGAGCATTGCTGACTATATCACTGGAGGTCAAAGAAGGCCAAAACCAGCGAATCTCAGTGATAACATCTATGCTGTTATCTCTGACGCTTGGACACAAGACCAAAAAACTCGATTAAAGATAAAAGTCGTTGTGGAAAAATTAGAATCAATTTATCAAACTATGTGTCGACTCTAAAACTGTAAGTTATGCAATTTATAACCAATGGTCGTACTTGTTGATAATAACTATTTTATTCCTTCTTTTTAACTATATATTATAATTATTTTTATTATAAATTATGGTTATACAATTTATAAAAATATTGATTCTTTAATAATTTTTATATATTATATGGTTATTATTATATTTTTATTTCATTTTATAATATAGTATAATATACTATAATATAGTATAATATACTATAATATACTATAATATACTATAATATACTATAATTAATTTCAAACTAAATGAAAGAACTTTTAGAGATATGGGGAACACACTTACAAAAAGTCCACCCAGTTGTAGTTGTCAAAAGTGTATAGATGGACCTCCTGATCAAAGAGAAGGTGGTATTATTATTTATGGACCACCTTCTTATTACACGAATGAGTTGTTCAACTTTATTACAGGCAATATTACAGAAGAGACGAATGAACCAATGGACGATTATGAAAGATATTATTATATGAGTTCTATGTCACAAACTATTACCGAAGTATACAAAACATTAACATTGACTATTCAAATAGAGATTGTCGAAGATATTGAAGACCTCCATAGAACGTTGTGTAATATAAACTGTTCTTTTGTTATCTTTGAAATTGATTTGAACGACAGAACCACCTTAACAAGTATTTCTGACGCTCTCTTTAAGCTCAAAGAGATGAAAAAGAGTGATGATGTGTGTTCATTAGAATACAGTTATAATCTGCCCAAAGATTATTTCATTATTGGGACTCATGGAAATGCCGAGAGTACTACCAACAGTGTTACACGTGCAGACTTAACACATCTAAAAGAAGAAAGTGGTGTATGGGGATACACTGAATTTGCTCCACGAAGTGAGAACATCTTCCTCCAAAGGAATGTCATTCACAACATATTAGAAAGAGCCAAAGACGTCATTGTTCTCTATGGAAGAGTCGGGTGGAAAGTAATGAAGCCGGTCATCTTATTATACGACAGTACACCAGTGAAAGAGGTGACAACTCGTGTTCAATTAACACTGAAAATGGGATGGACATTGGTATGACGTATCCGCCAATTCGTCGAATATCGACTAGTACTTTTTCAAAGAGTTTTGAATGGACTTTTTCATATGAGAGTCGAGTGAATGAGTGTTGTGTACTCACCTTTGAACAGAATCCACTCCACGTGTATTCTTACCTCTTCTGGGAAGGAAACTTCCAATCAAAATTGAAGGACTTGGGTGGGGAAGATTGTTACTGTGAGTCGATCGAATGTTTTGATTGTTTAATTGAACGCCTTGGACTCAATGAAAAAGAGCGAAACGATTTAATAGTATATTCTATTAAATATTTAACTAGATTCAAAACTATTGGAATTAAAATACTTGGAAAAGTCTATGAACAAAGCGCTGAGTTATTAGTTGATGGGTTTAATAGTATTCATAGGGTCGTGGTTGGTCTCTTTGAGGCTGATGGATATGATATACTTCGGTGGGATTCGGTAAAACAACGAGAACGACCAACAGGAAAATATGTGATTGAGTGGGGTGTTATTGTTATTAATTAAATTATTATTTATTATTAGTTTATCATTTCAATTACTATAAATTAGTTTTTATATTAAATACTCAATAGTATAAATAACAATGGAATTATAATAACTAATACTACTTCAATAAACTATAAAATATAGTAAAACGTTTAATTAATAAAAAAAATCTCAAAACAGTTTCCACTTTCTTTTTTGTTGTAAAAAACAGTAGAGTAATATCCCGATTTATTAGTATTTATTACTCTGTTATATTGTGACACTTGAAATCAAGATTCTATAATGAGAAACTTTTAAAAAAATATCTAATAAAATATGTTGAAATGTCCTAATTTTTCGGGAAATGGTTGAAAGTGTTTCCACTTTTTTAATCTATCTTCTATTTTTCATTCATTCTTCTTTTCTAAATATTTTTGATAAAATAAAACATATAGTATACTTATTGTTTTTAATTTATTTATATTAAAATATTTATGAAATAAACTAGTATGAAAGAAACAATCAATTAAAAATAGTGAAAAAGAAAACATAGCTCTTTTGTATTTATTGCGGAACGTCAACTCATAAAGGAATATGTTTTATCCCTCTCGTGCCGAACCAATATTGGTACAACCAGTCCAAACGATTCAGTATCAACAACTCCCTCCACCCATCCAATTGCAACAGGTCCAGATGCCTATAACTCAAGTCCAACAAGTCCCTCCAATCCCCGTTCAACAAGTCAAACGAGTCGAAGAGTCTAATAGTGTCATTGCTGTCTTCTACGCTCTTGGGTATGTCCTCCCCATCATCTGGATGGTCCAACTCTTCTTCATTTTCTCAAGAAATGTGAATGTCAAATTGTGGGGATATAGAGCACTCTCTGCATTGTTACTCTACATCTTCATCACTTTCTTGACCCTCTTCTTGTGCTACAAAGACGATTTGGAGCATTGCAGATACTACTACTACAATCGCTATTGAGTAACTCACTGTTACTTTGATTTACTGTTGTATAAGTCTTTTAATGGTTTCTTAATAGTTTATTTAATGGTAATGCATTATTTCAATTAATGGTAATTATAATGATATATTAGTAGACTTATTAATATACAGTTAGACAAGTTTGCCAATAAATGGAATAGTTTGACTTAAATGGTTCACGTTAATGGTTTAAAAACCAATTATTATAGTAAACAGTGGGTTAAACTAGAAAAAAATATAATGGTTAAATAGAATGATATTTAAATTATTATTAATTCTATTGTTTTATGTTACGCTCTGATCTTGAAAAATAAAACCAAAACACATGTTAAGTATTGTTTTATATGTTTTAACGTGTTTGTCTCGTTGAGTTCAAACGCACCGAAACATGTGCCGCCTCATTCGGAAACGTTTGTGTTACTTTATATTTATTTTAATATGATAAATCAGCAGTATTTCTTATCGCGATGGAAGAATACTACTTTTAACTTAATTAAATAATAATATCCATAAAAACGAATTCAACGCAAGGAAAAACTGCCAAACCTCCCAAGAGTGTGATTTATTAAGAATCATCGCTTGATTTTGGCCAATAAAAAGTGGACCCACTCTTTAAAGAGCATGTCTATCTTGTTTTTGGTTTGTTCTTAAGAAATGCTCAAATAATAGAGAACAACAAAAATAATAATTACACACTCTAGGGAAATTAGACTGTATTTATAATTGAATTTGAAATGTTATGGTTACTTTATTTGACAAATTTTGATAAAACTTTATTGTTTGTGATCACATTAAAATGTTGGTGATGATCATGATCGTGTGATAGTTTATAATTATCTTTACTTTTTTCATTGCTTTCTTATTCTTTATGTTGTGTGTTTGGGTTTTTGGCTTGCTTTTAATTATTCAATTTTTTATATAAACTTGATAATAAAAAAGCAATTAATTAGTTCGGGTTATAGTTCAAATTTTTATTATAATTAAATTATAATTTTTACCATTTAACCCAAACTTGTCGTTTAAGTCAAACTTGTCATACTGTATCATTATTCAAAGTTAAAGAAAACTTGTTGATTAGTTGGTTCTGTTGTTTGGTATGTATGTTAAGGTATGGTATTATATCATATTATTATAACATATTTTTCACTTGTTACGTTCGTTATTATAATCACTAATTCTGTCTTTTGGTTTGGTAAACATGTTCAAGAGTACAATACACAATGCTTTAATTACTTCCTTTTTATTGGAATTATACAAGAAGTGACACAATATGAAGTTTGGAAGTAATAATAAACTAAAATATAAGCACAAGTGGCCGAGTGGTCTAAGGCGTTGGTTTTAGGCACCAATCTTGAAAAAGTCGTGGGTTCGAACCCCACCTTGTGCATTTTTATTTTTTTAAAAACACAAAATATTTTTTTTCAAGTTTATTTAATTTAATTAAATTTCATATTTGATATTTCATTACATCAAGGGAACTTTAATTTTATAACACCATTTAAAAAAATAAACACTTAATTATGTAATTATCAATAACGACAAATTAGTTCAAAGATAACATATAAATGGACTATTTGTGTTCAGTCAAAAAATTTATACAGTCAGTCTAACAACTACAGTCTGTCTCGAACGTTATCTGGTACCTTATGGACCATAAAGAATGGAATATTCCGGGAAGCAGTCCCAAAAATCCATCCCAATTGTTTCAGTTTTTTTCACGTTTTGCCTAATGCCGATGTTTAGACAAAAATACAGCCATTAAAGTTTGAACAGATAACGTTGTTAGACTGACTCTATGATTTTTTTGATTTGTGTGTTTGGAAAATTTAATTTTATTACAAAATAATTGTTTTGTTCATTCAAGTTCAATTAACCCTTTAAATAACAATGAACAAAATTTAAGTGGACTAAAAATCGGGAAATCTCGAGTTTGTTAAATAATTTTCAAGTTTTTTGATATTTATTATATATGCCTAACATTACACAAGCAAAAAAGGATAATCATCAAAAATGAGTAAATATCCCAGTAATAACAGATCAATTAAAACAATGGCGTTATTTTAAATGTTAAAAAAATTAAATACCGAAATGTTTTTGGTGTGTTGTATAAAAAGTTTCAATTCGTATGGAAACAATAGATAGTTTTTTACTATTAATATAATAAATAACAGAGGTTGATTTCGCTTTTTGAACTAATAAAGTTTGGTGTGTCGATTTGAAAATATTTTCAATAGATTGATTGTACCAATCAAAAGTGATGCAAATACAATTTTATTGATGAATTCAATATTCAATTTGATTTATTAACCTTATTACACGATTTTGTTGCTATTTAAATGGACTTGACATCTTCAAGTTCATTAAATGAGTGAGCAAGAAGTCGTATCCAAGGGGTTTAAAGAGAAAGAAGAGACAAAGAAGGACAAAACAGAGAAAGATAAAGAAAAAAAGAAAGACAAGAAAGAAAAAAAAGACAAGAAATGTAAGAAAGATAAGGATTCAAAGCATGAGAAAAATGAAAAGGAAGAAGACGAACAATGTGAAGGAAAATGTAAGGAAAAGATCACAAAAAAATTAGACAAAGATAAGAATGCAGCCACAGAAGAAAAAGAGAAAGAAAAGAAAAAGGATGAAGATAAAAGTGAAGAAAAGAAGAAAGAAAAAAAAGAAAAGAAAGACAAGGAAATTAAAAAGGATGATATTCAAAAAGAAAAAAAAGATAAACACAAAGATAAAGATAAAAAGAAAAAAAATGAAGAAGAGAAGAATGAAAAGAATGAAAAGAATGAAAAGAATGAAAAGAATGAAAAGAATGAAAAGAATGAAAAGAATGAAAAGAATGAAAAGAATGAAAAGAATGAAAAGAATGAAAAGAATGAAAAGAATGAAAAAATAGACAAAAAGGAGAAAAAGGAAAAAGAATAAACGTCATTTAAAAAATTCTATTCAAAAGATTTAAATTTATTTTATTTTAATAAAATAATAAACTATAATTTTATTATTTAATTATTACAAAAATATTTTATAATTTCTTATTAATAACTTATTAAATAACTATACTTTAATAAAAAAAATGTAATAAAATTTTATTATCAATATAGTTAAAAAACCCATTACATTTATAATATTCAAATTTATTTTATCGGAATTTACTCAATACTAAAAACATAATAAATAAGTTAACTTTATATTGTAAAAAAAATACAAAAGCCGTTATATTTTGCATCATACTTTTGAATGAGGTAAAAATAAGATACCTATAAAATATAATAAATTTATTATATTTAATAAACCATATCTGAGTATAAACAAAACGAACTGTCAATTAACCACTTATTGAGATGCCGGTGGTAATAATTAAACCACTACCCAATAGTTCTCCAGAAACCCGTTTAAAAGTGTCTTCGATTGTTCTTAAATATGGAAAAAAAAGTGAGCCGAACACGCTTACATTTACCTTTTCGAAGACACATAAGTGCCACATAGCACTTTTAAAATTTGCGAACAAGAATGACGCTTACTCGTTTATAGCACTAATGCCGGTAATTAACGCCATTTACTCGTGTGAATTAACAGCACAATTTACTAAAGAAGAAACTATAGAGGAGAATCAGACTTTATATATCCAAGGAGTCACAACAGACAGCACAACATCAAGAAGTCTCTTAGCACAATATGGTACCATTTCAAGTTTCACACAGAAAAAGGTCAAAAGAGGTGGTGACACGTCATACATTCTAACGACGTATACGACTTTGGACTCTGCAAAGCGCGCAATGACCTCCTTAGAGAACACGCGAACGTTTGGCCCATATTCAGTGGTGAAGTACTCTGATAAGAAGAAGGAGAAACACAAAACAAGTAATATAATACTGTCACCATCTTTAACAACTCAACAACCCGTTAAAATAGGACGGGTGCGTTCTACTAAAAGTAACAGCAAACAAAGTGTATGCACTAATGAAACAGCTAAGTCTTCTTTGTATCAACCAGTATCTCTAGTACAACAAGTTCCTCAACAGTTCAATCAATATGAAGAAGTAAATACAAGTCAAGTTCATAACTTTGATTTTAATCAACAAATTTTGATGGAAAAGACGTCTTTTTTGAAAGAAGAAAAGCGCGAATGTATTTTTAAGACACCAGAAAATGAGTATTTCAATGCACATAAATTGTATGTCACAGAAGTCACCTGTGATGTCGTCAAAGTCTATTTGGAAGAAATGACAGGACTGAAATGGGACGTCAAAGTCTTAAACGATGAGTGCTTCCAAATTACATCACATCAAAAGTGCGACGACCAATTTTTGAATGACATTTGCGATTATAAAAATTGGTTTGTGTGTGACTTTGAGGAATTAAAAAATCCTCAAGCAAATTTGTGTGGAAATTTTTCGTTAAAAGAAGAACAAAACTCGTCTTGTGAATTAAAAGAAGAAAAAGAAAAAGTCCAAATGACTGAAAGACATTTCTTATATCTTATTAATACTGAAATTAAACAAAATAGTTTAATTGAACTCTTTGAAGATCAAAGTGTAGGATATGTAGATATTAAAGATACTGTCAATGGAGTAGTTGTGGAAGTCAAGAACAAAGAGGAGGAACAAGAAGTTACTGAATTTCTCTTGTTATTTGGCATTGAATGTCAGCGAGTGAGTGACCCGAGTCTATTACAGTGCTTTAAGAGTCCAAAAGAAAGACTTTGTAACACTACAAATGAAGAATTCAAGTTGGAAGTAAGTAACTGTGAGGAGTTACAATATGAAGATGTCTGTTTACACGAAGAAAAAGACATTGAAAGAGAGAAGACCACTTTCTCGTGTGAAATTTGCTATGAGGACGTAGAAGAGTCTGAGGCGTTTACTTTCACGCCATGTCAACATAAGTATTGTAAATCATGTGTATTAAGTCTGTGTAAAGAACGAGTAAATAGTCTGCAAGAGATCTTCTGTCCACATGAGAAGTGTCACTGCCCACTTGAAGGGGACAAATTATATACACTTGACTATCAAACGGCAGAGAAGTATAATGTAGTACTCTTCAGACTGTACGTCCTCCGCTCAGACAATTTGATCTTCTGTCCCATTCCAAATTGTAATGGCGTACTCGAAAAGGTGGAGAAGACTAATCAAGTGACTTGCCCCGAGTGCCAGAACACGTTCTGTTTTAAATGCCGAGAAATGTGGCACAAAGACTTCACCTGTGAACAGGCTAAATCACTCCAAAGAAGTGACTTGACTGACAAGGAAATCGCTCAAATCATGGCAAAGAAGTGTCCACGTTGTAAAATGTATATCTCGAAGGAAAATGGGTGTAATACTATCACTTGTAAATGTGGCTGTATCTTCTGCTGGACTTGTGGAAAGGATGTGACTAACGACGACACACATTTCTCAAGAAATGTCTGTAAGATGTATGACTGAGTTATACTTTGAAAAATATAAAGCAAAGTTATCACCTCAATCATTACCCGGTGCACAATGACGGGAGGAATACACGTATTTTTATAAATAATAAAGTTAAATTAATAGTTAATTCAATAGTTAATTCAATAGTGAATTCAATAGTTTTGTTATTAAATAAAATTAATTGATTATAATAAGTTAATTTATTAATTAATAAATAATTTGATTAATAGTTATTTTCAATATTTAAAAAAAGTAAATTTATTAATTCATTTAATAATTTATAATATCGTTTATTTAATAGTTTTTTAATTGTTTATTAATAGAAATAAAAAACAGTCCAACAATTATTTGTTATTTGTTTGGGAATTAATTATTGAGGACAAATTCGAATAAAATAAAAACGTCACAAAAAACGCATTTCCCGAAGTTGGTTGTGTTTTATTAACAAAATTGTCGACTAAAACAATTTCTAAGTTAAAATAAAAATTTTCAACCCATTTTTTAGACATTTTTGTCGCAAATTCCCGATTTGTCAGGAAGTGCCAGAGAAATGTTTAATTTCATTTAGAAATGTCCTGTAGACCAATAAAAAAAGCGATGAAAAATCCAAAATATTATAACATTTCTTCTCAGGCATTTTGCGTGTGTTTTAACCACTCAAAAAATCAAAACGTTGTATTATAATCATTAATATTTTTATTACCAAAACAATTATTTGTTTTTATTAATAATAACTGTATTAATAAGTATTAACAAATAAATTATAAAATATAATTTTCCAGATTAAAGAAGATACTGAAGTAACACCGGAAGTGACAAAAAACGATTTAACTGATTTGACATCTTTAAAAACTTTTAAAAACGTCCCGAAAATGTCACCAGAAATGATAACAAAAACCAAAGCGCCCGACTTATTGACCACTCTATTACTCCCGTCCGACTTATTAGAATAATAAATAAAAAAGATTTTCAACTTTTTGGAAACTATCGAAGACCTTTGTATATAAGGATTTGAAGATCAATAAAAAACCAAAGAACACTCATGTCTGATCCATTCAACGACACTACACAACCACAACAAAACACTTCCGGTGACAAAAGTCTCACATGCTCCGTATTGGTGTTGGCCATCTTGTCCACCGTCTTCGGATGGGTTGGAGCTACTATCATCTTCTTCTTGGAGAAGAGAAACGTGTTCATCAGAGCTACTTGCCTCCACTGCATCATTATCACCGCTCCACTCTTCTTACTCACTTTGTTCCTTTTGATCTTCTATTGGGCCGGAATGTTCTTCATTGTCACTTTCTGGATCTTCTTTGTCATCTGCATCTTGGTCAATATCACTTTGGTCGCACTCGCAGTCTGGAAGTCATCTTCGGAAGACTTCTTGGGTATCCCATTACTCGACAAATGGATTGTCTCTAAGGTTTAATACATTGCTCGCTTACTTATTCGTTGTTTGTTTCATAGATATTATCTTAGGCAATTGAGATCAATATGAAAGGGTAAATTATTTAAGTTTTTTAAACTAGATAGTATTAATATAATTATAGTATATTTATAATGTTTTTTTTACATTTGTCTTGTGTGATTATTATAAAAGTTTTTTAATTATCTTTTCACTTTCTGAAACATTTGAGAAAGTGAATAATATGCCGAACTATACACTTACTAAAAAACAATTCTTATTTTAATTAAATTTGAATCAAAAAACAACTATAATATATAATAAAACAAATTAAAAATGCTTCAAAAATTATTTGTCATAGCATTGTGTTGTGAAATGATTTTTATGACACTTATAAAATACAAATAATTTACAATTATTTGTATTACTAAATTATCAACACAATTAAAGTTTTAATTAAAAGAACAAATTATAAATTCAACTGTTTTAATACAACTATGATTGTTGTTTTAACTTTTAAGTCGAATAGTAGTCGTTTTATAAATGATATATTTTAATAATAATATTTACTAATGATGATAGTTTAATTTTGCTTGTTCTTTGTTTGAATGGTACTTTCTTTTAACTTAAATAACAAATTAATCAATTGTTTTAAGTATATTAACAGCTTCATTAATTGTAATCCGTTCTTCAACTTTTTGTTTCCAACACTTTTCAATAACATTTTGGTATTTCTCTTCAAGTGTTTTTATTGTATTTGGTCTTTTTCCAGAAGCAACATCATCAGCAATAGTCCATGGGTACATATAAATAGTTTTTGGATATGCATTACTCCACAAAAAGCACTCCACCATAGTTATAGCAAATGAATATACATCAGCTGGCTTCTTATAGTGTTCTTTGTTTAACACCTCAGGTGCCATATATTTTGGTGTTCCAATTCCATTTGTGAACGTCATGTTAGTCATCAACATATTGACATTTCTAGCACTCCCAAAATCAGTCAGTTTTGCGTTGACTTTTTCGTTACAATCAAGTGAAAACATAAGTAAATTGTCTGGTTTAATGTCTCTGTGTAATATCCCATTTTCATGTAAATATTGAATTCCTTTTGCTCCATCAAGCAAAATTTTAACACGAAGTTTCATATCAATTTCTTCACTCTTTTTGTGTTTCATTAAATCTTGTAAAGACCCAAATTGAGCGAATTCAGTGACCATACAAATCTTATTTGGAATGAAAACGGCGCCATAAAAGTGGACAATATAATCACTTCTAAATTTGTCTAACATGGAAACTTCATTCTCAAATTCAATATTTTGTGAATCATTGTTTTCACACATTTTCATCTTCTTAAGAGCAACTATATTATCTCTAAAAGTCCCTTTAAAGACCACACCAAAAGACCCTTCACCAAGTTTTTTGTCTTCTTTTAATTCGTCTGGGTCAAGGCGTGTTGTCAATTTAGAAGTAGCTGTAATTTTCATATTTTTAAGTACATTATTTTTGTGTGTAAATGAATTTGCAACTAATACAACATTTTCATCAATTTTGGTTGTGCATTTTATTGTTAAAAGAATTTCAAATTCACAGGCTTCGCCTTTTGGTAAAATCACAACTTTTGGATTTGTCTCAAATTCATATTTTTCGACGGTCGCACTTTTTGTTGTGATTTGAATTTTCATGTTGTGTTTTGAAGTGTTACCAACACACAAAAGTTCTCTTTGTTGTGAATTGACATCAATGTTATCGCCAAATGAAATTTCTGTTTTGTTCACAACAACGTCGTCGCCAAGAGGAATAAAAGTAACGTTCGAGCGACTTATTTTGAAGAGTGTTGTTGTCATTTCAATTTCTTTTTGTCGCACTTTCTTTTCAATGTATAACACTATAAATACAATTATTATAATTGTTATTGTTAATACTATAATTGCAAACAAAACTATAAGAAAAAGTACCCACCAAACCGCTTTCGTGTTACACAATGTCCCACTTTTATTGGGAGAGTGCCAAAATGTACATTTCAAACATTTTGAATTTGAAATTTCAAGACATTTTGACACATATGAAATATCAAGACAAAGTCCATTTTCAAATAAAATTCGATTTTTAACACAAGAAGTACATTTTTCGTGTTGTGTGCATGTTGTGCAGTTATTATTACATTTTTCACATTCATTATAATTAACTGTGTAATACCCATCTTGACACTTAGAACACCCACTTTGGGTGACTTCATTCAAACACCCAATAATACTATTTTGTGGCAAACACTTTCCACTTGTTGACTTGTAATTTGTTAAATTACAAGTCAAACACGTGTTATTTGTGTTACACGTTGAGCAATTGGAAAGACATTCAAGACAATCCATTCCAACTCGGTAATACCCATCTTTGCACCGATAACACCCTCCTGTGATTGTCGATATTTTGTCACATTTTACAATCAATTCAGTGCTTGACAAACATGTGTAATTATCACCTTGATAAAAATTAAATTTACATGTAAGACACTTTGTATCACTTTCAAAGCAACTTGTGCAATTTTCAGAACATTGATGACATTCGGCATTAGATAAATAATACCCAATGTCGCACGAAATACACCCACTTTTACTATACAAAACACAACCAGTTGTTGTACTATTATTTGTAATGTTTACACAAGTTTTGTCATTATTTAAAATATTATTATCTTCACATTCCACACATTGACCATTCACTATAAAAAGACAATTATTTTGTAAAGATATACACAGCCCATTTTGCTCTTTGAATGTTCCATTTTGACAAATTAATGAAGTGCATTTTCTTTTATCTGAAATTAAATAATTTACTTCACATGAAATAGCATTGTTTTTGTCACAATGTATTGAGTTTGCAAAATTTGATGAACACGTGTTACACACACTATTATCGTTGTAAAATTCGTCATTACACCAAATAGTCGAAATTCCAATTGAAACCCCATTTTTCTCTTCAACACAAAAACTTTCGTTGTTGAGAACAAAGTTCTTTTTACAAATTGAGCACGTCTCGTTTGCACACAAATCACAATTTGATGTGCAATTTTCACATTTGTTGTATAAATTGCCTGTGATACATTTAATACAATTACTTCCCTCTGTGTATCTACATTTGTCATTATATACACATTTGTTATCATCTCTTGTGTAGTGGTTCGGACATTTGTAACAATCAATTGTTGTTCCAAACAAACAGTTTGCTGAAGAAATACACTCAAATTTTTCATTTAAAACATACTTTGTTTTACACAACACACAAACGTTGTTTTTGTTGTATTTTTCACAATTATTAACAAGAGAATTACAAATATTATTATCAAGACGATATTTGGAGTCGCACATTTTACACTTTAAACCATTTTTTGATACTTCCATAAGTAGGCAATTGCCAAGAGCTTTGTTATCACTCGCGTTTTCCATTAATACAAAGCTTTTCCCATTTTCAGTAAAATCAACTTGATTAATTTTATTTAAAATGGTGTTTTTTAATATAAAGACGTTGGTGTTTTCGTATAAATAAAGTTTTTCAATGGTACCGGTGCAATCGATATTTAACTTGGTGATGTTTTGAGAAATTGAGAAATTGTGAATTAAGTCACCCACACATTTTAAAGTATTTAAAGTTGATGAATATAAAAATGAAGCATTTGTATATACATCTTTCTTAGTACTAAAAGTAATTTTACCAAAAGTGAATATAAAGATAAGATTTGTAAATAATGAATTGACTGTGAGTTTCACATCATCGTACACGGTGACTTGTTTTGCATGTTTTAAATTCAATAATTTCATATCTTTGTCAATTAATAATTCAGTGTTATTTAATATATAATTCAACATATTAAACTCGATGATTCCACTTTTAAATTCGAGTTTGCAAATGACGTCATCATCGCTGTTACAGGGGCAATGCGGATAATCAAAGGCCATATCCATTGTAGTTGGTGATTTTGTATTGTAATAAGCATTTTTTAATGTGCAAACTACTTCATTATTTAGTGGAGTATCTTTTGGGCAAAATCGCATCAATTTCTTATTTGATAATAAATAACCTTTCCCATCAGTAAAGTTAAATGAATATTTAAACATATCAGATGTGATGTGATTTGCATTATCCGAGTCAGTGTCTAAATTAGACTTGTCATTTAATGATATGACATCAAAACAGTTAGTGTTTTTTGTTGGATTTACAATTTGAAAATTAAGTCTATTAAAGTAGTTAAAATTCAGATGAAGATATGTAGAGTTCCACAAAACAATTCGTGGGTTATTCAATTCAGGCTGACTTAAAATAAGATCTCCAGCAATTGACATTCTCCCAAAATTTGTCGTATTTTGTAGCACGTTGATTGATGCTTTTGTATATACATATAGTCCATTATTAATATGCAAATTTGTCATTAAAAACAATGATACTTTTGTAGCAATAGTAAGACTTTGGGTGTTAAACCAAAAACCCATATCAATAGTAGAATACAACGTGGTATCTGCAACTATAATAAAATTATGAAAATTATAGTCATCAT